AAGTTGCTTATGTCATAATTTAGTGTTATGGTTTTCAACTTGATTATCCAGTCAGAGAGCAGAATGAGCCTCACATGAGTCTCTCATGGGTTGCCATCTTCAATGCTGAAGTCCAGTTGGTTTAAACCTAAAAAGATTCTTTCTGATCTGACTCCTCACTACCTAAACCCCAGCACCTGCAGGCTATCATTAAATAGTGTTTTATGCAAAAATGACTTTTTGGAATGTTGTTCTCTCATCAAAAACATGCCTGAAGAGGTTTGAGATGTCATCCAAGCATATTTGAGTAATCTTGTAATCTCTCCTGGGCTCTATTTGGGAGCCCAGCCCACAAGCCTACGTCACCCATGCTCCCACATGTGAATTTTCCATAAATTTACAAAACATAATACAAAACAATACACTGTGACTTCACAAACCTGATGCAATGGGCAGTGGGATGAATGCTGGAGCGGGCATTCATTGTCAAAAATTAAACTGAAAGTAATTAAACATTTTAATATGTTGTTTTGGGTGATTATATCATTTTGAAACAATAAAACATAAAGGGGTGATCTAAATATGTTGTGTGTGTTGTGTATAAAGTATAATACCACATCTTTAAAGTCTTCTTCCTGCTAGCTTCCAACAAGAGCATTTCCAGGTCTGTAATATATAAAACTCCTCACAGAGTACTTTGAAGTATTTTGTTGCGGTCTGTCCCAACCCTCAATGGAACTTAAAGTGACTCTAGTACGTCTTCAACACTGGAGCGTGAACACGGTTAAATAAAAGTGACACATATGAATGAGCTGAGAGGAGAGGGCTGAGTCTGCTGTCAGCACTCCCCCCGCCGCCCCCCCACCTTGCTGCAGTGTAGACAAGCCCGGGACCGCCATTGAGCCACTTTCACTTCTCTATTAGACACACAAGATTAGATACAGAAGGAACAGAGGGAGTGTCAGCCATGTTTGTTTTAATTACACCCACAGATTTATACCCAGGATTAGCTCAGAGCTTCCAATAGTGCGTGCAGCCGTAACAGTGAGAGTTGTGGCTTCATCTGGAACTGCGACTGCAAGAACAAGATAATTCATGATAAAGTATTGATTTTGTCCATTAGGGAAAAATATTAGGTGCTTTGTATTGGTTTGTTTAGTGCATTTCACTTGTTTGAGTAATTCTGCATTATTAGTCTGTCTACATCTCCAAAACTCAAAATGTCTTGTTCCACCTTGATGCTATGAAGTAATATTCAAGTTAACAGCTACCTTTTGCCTTTAGTTCAGTAGAGATTTGCAATTCCAGGTCATCTAAATCAGGGGTCCCCAACCCTCAAGCCGGGGACTATTACCGGGGCGTGGGTTGTTTGGTACCAGGCTGAGAAAGTGCGAACCCCCACTCCCCTACACCGCACAGACCATCCCCCCTCCCATACGTCATGTGGACCGTTCCCCGTTCCATAAATCGTGCGGACCATCCCCCCTCCTGTATGTCGTGTGGACTGTCCCCTGTCCCGTACATCATGCGGACCATCCCTCCTCCCGTAAGTCGCGTGGGCTGCGCCACTAAACCAGAACTAAACCAGGTCTAAACCAGGACTAAACCAGGTTTAAAACAGGTCTAAACCAACTCCCTCCGGTCTGTGAAATATTGTCTGATATAAAACTGGTCCATGGTGCAAAAAATGTTGGGGACCACTGATCTAAATGATTCTAGTGAAGGTGTCTGGAGTTTAAAAACACAGTGGAACACTCATGACCTCACAAGGTGGAACAGAGTGTTTACTGTTTGAGATTAAAAAAAAACAAAACTTGAAATATGCAGGGTTTGTGTGTTAAACATGTGTGAATGAAACAAAACAAAACTCTAGGTATGTTTGTGAGGAAGCATTGTAATGTAGATTAGAAAATAGCGTAAAATGGACCCTTTAAAAACTGTCTCAAAGTTCAACAATTTCAGTTTTTTTCTGAAATAGTCATGTCAGTAAGTCCACACATAATCAGTACAGAAATGCAGGACTACTACAGCCAGTGACTAATTAACAGCTCTTAAGAAAATGGCTGACCGATTATATGTTGTATGTGTTTATTCCATCAAAGAAGGTCTAATACTATTACTTAACTGAACTCTACTACAGATCTGTGGTGCTTGGAGGTGACGGGGAAAGCAGCTTACAAGCATTCTACAATGTGGTATACAACTGAAGTCTAAATAGTATAAGTTCAATATGTCTTTTAGAACCTAAAGTTTGAAATGCAAAGAACTCAAACCAGGATTTAGAAGAAAATGCCTTTTGGTCAGTATACAGTGTTTGTATGGATAGGCCTTGAGTGAACGAAGCCTTAATTACCAGGATTGTCCATGTTTTTATTAGTAGGAGTAGTAGCACTGACTCACCCCCACATTTTGCCTCTGTCAGTCAAATGGCCATGACGCAAATAAAAAGCAAAACGCAACTAAAGTGCAACTGTAAATTTAGTTCCTTTCTACTTCAGCCAGTCAGTTTTTTGGAACCATTTTAGAATCACTATGTCTTTTGCAGCAGCTGAACCATCAGCCTCCTCATCCTCTCAATCTCCTCTTGTGTCTATGCCCCGTGTGAAGCTATGCCCTCTGTCGCTGTGTCCTTAGGCAAGACACTTCACCCACCTTGCCTAGTTTGAATGTGGTGTGTGTGAGGGTTGGGGGTGACCAGAGGGGCTAGTGGTGCGATTGGCAGCCTCGCTTCTGTCTGTCTGACACAGGGCAGCAGTTGCTATAATAGTAGTTTACCACCACCGAGAGTGGAGTGAATGAACAATGACTACAGCAAAGTGCTTTGAGAGGCTTTGACAAACCTGTAAAGTGCATGAAAAGTGTTAGACATTATTAATATTCACTTTCTGGTAGAGGGTCTGCCACCACACTGATGCCATACTATAGAACATACCAGGTGAAGCAGGTAATGACTAGCCTAATTCATCAGCCGGTTTCACTTCATAGAAACCATCTGACCTCGCAGCATTAGAATTCGTTTGCTCGACGGTAGGTGGGTACTTTTTTTCATTCATTCAATCGCTGTTATTTGGTCGTGATGTATGTAATGCGCCGCTAACGGGGCTAACTGGTATATTAAGTTTTTCCCAAATCCCATAGGAAAAAGGGCAATAACGTCTTTCCCCTTGATAAAATTCACCAAACATTCTGTTTGTTCCGGCTTTAAATCCTCGATCTCGGGAATCGTTGCCAACACAAAATATATGGTGCTTCACTGAGTGGCTGGTGCCCGGACCTGCACTTCCGGGGATTTCGCGAACTGTCTAGTGTATTCTGATTCCTGACCTAGTTGTTAGGGAGAAATGAAATTGAGCAGAGGCACTAGGTGGCGCCAGGCTAGCTAGGTGATGACCTTAGACCAGAAAAATGATATAGTGCACCTTTAAGCAAGCTCTATATTTGAGCTGGACCTCTGCCAAACACTGCATTTAACTTTTACATTCACATCTTTATCACATTATAAAAAACCCTTTATCGCCGGGAATAGATACATAAATAACAATATGAATAAATAATGCAGGAGTACTCACTGAAACATGCAGGTCTGGGGTTATGACTCCTGGTTGTAAACAGTAGCAGTGGTGATTTAGCACACAAGCTAACAGGGCAGATGTGAATGCACTATCCGGGCATTAAACCAGACCACACATGTATCAGGCTATCTCTGCACGAGGAACCAGGCTGTAAATAAACACGCACATGGTAGAACTATCATCTCATGGTAAAGGACACATATGCAATTTTTTAACCATCTCATAATGCTGTTCTCTCTTGAAAACGTATCTGGAGTTGTATTTAGCTTCATTCATACTTCTTTCACTACGGGCGATGTAACTGACTTTTACTAAAAACAGAACTAGTTCTTTTTAAATGGTTTGCAGTGGTCCAGAGTTATTCCTCATTTACCTTACACATTCTGAGAATCGTAATCATTTACATTGTCACTGTAAAACTAACGATATCTAGCATGCTAACAGAGCACTTCCTGTTTCCTGGACTGTTAAACACTCTGTAATTAGCTGCAGACAGTGCACAGCGATCTCAGTTTGACCCTTACATGCACTAATACAATACAATCTCTACTGGGGCGAAACAAAGTTTGTTTACAAGGTCATCCTGCTTTGAGCCTCTGAAATGGCTCCATTTCAATTTTCCCTGGATAATTACATAACGGGAAAATGAACCTCGGACTCTTTCTGCTCAAATTGTGTTCATAACAAACACGTAGCCTTATTGGCATAGCAGTCATGTTGCCCAGTGGCTTGATTTATTTCTTTTGTCATTACCACTGACAGCAGAGGGCGTTCTAATGTCTATACACTGCATTGGAAAAGCAGATGCAGTTTTCCAAATCTAGTCATTATTTTAAGTTAGAAACCAAAAGAGGGAATTAAAGCCAGAATAATGCATGTTATGTTAACTCACATATTCACATTTTGCATAGATTGTTGTGTCACAGGTAAAAATCTGGGCTTCTCCCCTAATGCCTTCATTTTCAACCAGAGTACCAGGGGAAAAAAATGTCCAGTTTGTTTTTAATAAGCATTTATTTTAGTGTGTCTTTTAAGCAAACTCCTGCAACAAAGAAGCTAAGCAATCCCAAAGTCAGTCAGCGGCACATACATTATTCATCACATAATATATATGATTATTCTTTCTTTAAACAATGTCATTTGGTAATGTTTTACTCAATGGTCTACCACGGAATCTTCAACGACAAAAATGTGCAGCACAAAATTGAAAAACACTGGCCTTATCGATTCCTTAATTAATTTTCTCATTGTGTCTTCCTGTTGCTGACAGCGGAGGGAGCTCTCATGCATAATTACCTCATTGGAATTGGAGGGGTAGTTTATAAAGTGTTTTCCAATATAAGTTAGAAAATCCAAGTTACTTTTTCCAAAGTGTTGTGTTCAAAAGAGAATTACCAGAAGAATGCATAATACGTGTTGCTGAAGGTGTCTCTCCTTTTGTGTGTGCAGAGGCTAAGTTCATCTCCGCTCACTCCATCTCTGACACGTACAGCCCGGATGACGACAAGATCTACTTTTTCTTCCGTGAGGCGTCCAGAGAGGGCAGTGACAAGACCATCGTGTCCCGCGTGGCCCGAGTCTGCAAGGTACTGAGACACTGTTACAGGAGTGAGCTGGGGTGGGATCAGGGGAAGGAGGGCGCTGGGGCTGCTGGTTTGGTATTCGGTGGGTGAAGGGTCAGGAGATAAAGTAAAAAGACCATTATAGATCTGCTCGATTAATTGCAATAGAATCAACATTGTAATTTGAATGGCTGAAAGTAGCAAATCTTCCATCAGTATCCCATCTTATTCAATGCTGTTGTCTACATTTTTAGTGAGCATACTGTAATAATTTTTCAAAAGGGTGAGACGCAGACACTTTTTACTTTTTTCCTATTGACTTTGTTATGCAGAGATCACTAAAGAATTGCTATAGGATATTCACTTAGACTCACGCCTTCACTCTTCTCTCTCATTTTGGCTGGTACACTCACCTCACAGTAAGAAGGTTTTGGGTGCGACTCCCAGTGTGTTTTGTGTTAAGCACGTTTCTCTCTGTGTCTGGGTGGGTTTCCTTTGGGCACTCTGATTTCCCCCATCAACCTAACACATGTAAAGTAGGTCAAAGCCAGGGTGCTACCGTGGCTTTGAAGGATGGGTCAAATGCAGAGGTTCAAAAACATACACAGACTTCACACTCCAAATTTCCCTTTTAAATATATAGACCACTGACCCCAACAATCAAGCAACACAAAAACATCACAACAAATCTTGCAGTGAGTTTTCAATTATATTTTGAATTCAAATTTGTCAATATGTTCCTCTCTGGAGCTTTAAAGGTACCCTATGCAACTTTTCTGGTGGGGGGATCCATCATATGCTTTTCTCCATGGAAATGTCATTGCTTTGTGTGAAATGTTTCACAGTATGGTATTAAACTTTTTGCCCAAACCAGACCAAGTTACAGGTTAGATCTGTGGAGAGGCAACCCCGCTCACAGTCAGAATTTTTCCGTTTTCTAGATATTTTTGAGCTGTAAAACCACCTGTAATTGAAAAAAATGTAAGGTAGAGCTTGTTTAATGCCATACTGTGGAATATTCAAGGCAGAACAATGACATGTGACAATCCATAGAAACAAGCAGGTGACGGACCCTCCACCAAAAGAGTTACACAATGCACCTATAAACATACACCATATGAAAAAATAAAAAGATTTTGGTAGTCCTTGTTAGAGCCATGCTGCTAATTTTTCATTTCCGTTTCTCTTTTGGACCCTATAGGAGGCGCCCTTCATTATACGTTCCTTTTTTTGTAGACTTCCTAAAGAGCTGTAAAACTCCTTGTCTCTCCCATAAATCTTGCTTTTAACCTGCATTTTTTACAGTGTACTCGTGGTCCATCAAAGCGCTCCGTCTCCGTATTTCCTGTCTCCTATACCTCCCACTTTTACAGACACAATCCTCTTAAGTTTACCTTTATTAGTCTTTGCGATGGTGTATTTGAACAATATCGAGTTTCATAGACCAATAAATTCCCCGGGACAGTATGCCAAAACACTGCACAGGCTTGGCTCTAGTCCCTCCGCAGTGGAAGGGGACAGGACAGGGTAAATGCGTGATGTGGGGGCCATTGGTGGAGGGATACGAGGGTGATATGTCATGTGAAATGGCACTGGCTTGGACAGCGGCCGGCTCTTAGTGTTTGAAGGGTTGTTGAGACATTCTTTGCCGGGCACAGCTTTCTGAGAATTTATGAAGAGGGAGAGAGGTGTAAGGAGAGAGAGAGAGTGAAAGAGAGGGAGAGGAAGAGAGAGAGTGAAAGAAAGCGAGAGATAGAGAGAGAGAGAAAGAGATAGTGGGAATCTAATCCACTTTTAAGTTTATACTATAGAGACATAATGACATTACTTTAAAGAGAAGTATTAACTGCTAACATGGAATATACTTAGATCACCATGTTACCTTTTATTGTTTTGAAAATGCTGTATTCGCTGAAAACATTGTATTAATATGTTTAATTAGTTGCTCTCCATGCTAAGTAACTTCCCCTTCAGAACTCTATCTCATAACAGTCACCATACATCCCGCAAATGAAATCACTGCACATCATATCAGGTTTGTGAAGCTGTAGTGTATTGTTTTGTAACCTGCTTTTGTATATTCACGAAACAGGATTGTACTGCTAACCGTAAGGGGGTGTTCGAATAGTGGCCAGAAGAGATCGCTATATTACTGAAACATGCATGGATGATATATAAAACTACTTCAGGCATGTTTTGGATGAGGGGACGATGTTAACATGGTCAGATCCAAAAAGATGATCCAAAAAGAGAGATCCAAAAAGTTGACTTTGTAATATAAAACCCTCTTTAAGTATGTTGTGTAGGAATCAAACCAAGGACTAACTGGGCTCAAAACCACAACCAAACAAGGAGAGTGAATGCACCACTAGTAAACATAGTTTTATTACTCCTGTATTTTGAAATAATACGTTTGTTTTTACATTTTGAAGACATATTTCGATTGTTGTTTTGTTGTCTTCAATCACAGTATATGTTTGTACTGAAAGATGTCTTCTTTTGGAGTAGTTGCTCTTTCTGATTCACTAAGACTTGGATTGGGTGTCTGGCTCCCTCTTTTGGCAACAGTGGGCAGTGAGTCATTTTGAGTAAAAATAATAATCAAAGAAAAGTTAGAGAGTGCACTATGCCAGGTTTCACTACTCATTTTACTAAAACACAGTTAAGATCATGTTGTGCACTGGGCCAGAATTTCTCTAATGCACATAGGAATTACTATTTGACACATAAAAATATCACATAACACCCTGAAATCTTGTTGAAATAATGTTTAAAGTATCAGAAAAATGTGTTGTGTTGTGTGTAAATACTGCCAAACTTTTGGATGACCTTCTCCCTAACATGATGTCATCAGCATGTTTTGGAACTCTCTACTTCCTATAATTTTCAACATATTTTTCTTGACAAATTGCTTCTTGATTGGTAAAACTATCATGTATATCGCACCAAATTAAGTAAAAATGTAAAAACTTGTCGTATGCACTTTAAATCTAATTTTCTTTAAACTTTGCCACAAACAGAGACCTTTACTGTACACCATCTTCCATGGACAAGTGCATCATGGGTACTCAAAGCTTTCTAAAGTAGAAAACCCTACAGTTAATATATGTAACCTTCTATTTCGACCATGGGAACTCTTGTGTAAAGTACTTTTAAACTCTCATGTGTGATTTCAGCCTCTTAAGCCCCACTCTGCTCCAAAGGCTCTGCTCTGTGGGTCAAACATCTACTGGAGTGGTCCTGACATGTATAAGTCAGGCTTCCTCATTAAAAACAGCCTTTCATATGCTAAAGTAAACATAACAGAGTCTAGATTGGAGTGTTTCCCAGCATGCACCTCTTTCATCTCCTCACCTTCTCTCCTCTCCTCAGGGTAGATAAATAAGCATGCTGCTGTGGTCCTCTCCCTGATGGTGAAAACTGTGTGGTTTTATATAGAGAGGATGTTCTTATTAGAGGTTTGGTTCCTGGGTTGGGCTGATTTGTCCCCAAAATTACATGTGATGGGTTTGGGTTCAGTGAGTAAAGTTTTAAAACACAGACAAAGATGAGAAGATGTGGTCTGCAGTTTTACTTCTTTTTGGTTTTCAACTGTTCCAAAAAAAAAAAAAAAAAAGTGCAAGTGCAAAAAGTGCAGGGTGCAAAATAGAAGCAGGTAGCAGTTTCCTCTCCAGCAGCAGAACACAGAATCATGTTTGGAGACGCCTTTTATCTGGTGTGTCTGATCGGGTAAAACATATACACAGAATACTGGGAATACACTAGACGGTTTGCAGGAACCCCAGAAGTGGTATACTGCGCACCGGCCGATCAGCAAAGAGCTGAACCAACCTGAGTTGCGAAAGAAGACTGCATACGCTATCCTCCTTTGGACTTCCTTTGTCAAATACAAACTTTGCATTTTTTATTGCACCCTTAATTCACAAGTTCAAATGACAATGACCATTGACAGACATGTTCACTCTCTGCTTTGTATTACATACATCATGACCAAATAGCAGCGATTAGGGTAAAACTAGAACAGCTAAAACAGTGATGGTAAAAATTAACTTTAGCTTAAAATATCAACCTAACACTCCATAAAACAAAACCAAATATCTATTAAAACCTCAATGATATACATAAAAAACCTAATACCATAGACCAATTACATTTTAAAACCCATAAACCAATAAAACACCTAACTTACTACCCCTGTACAATCTATTACACTTGGCCCAGCTCGGAACCTTAAAAAGGGTGCTCGTTTCCAGTGCCTTATTGACGGGTGAATGTGCTGAGTGTTCTTATACGTAACAAACCAGCCTGTTTGTTACATTACGATTATTCTAAAAATCAAGGTTTTACATGGAAAATGGCTCTGGCCAAACCCGCGGACAATACTTTTTAGCATAATATAGCGCTGTTCCCTCATCCCTTATATCAGCTGCACTTGTTCTCTCACTAAAACTGCACCGAAGATAAAAACTCAGCTTAGTTAACGTAACGCCGGTTCTATGAATGCGCAGGATCACACCCAGACATGCTTGGGATGTTTTGGGGTTGGGTCGTACAGTACATGGTACAAGTTGGATTTTTTTAAAATCTCATTTAAACTCTAATTCTTACTGAGGTGTCTCTGCTTATGTTTCAGAATGACATGGGAGGGCTGAGGAGTCTGACCCATAAGTGGACCACGTTCTTAAAGGCTCGGCTCGTCTGCTCTGTGCCCGGGGAGGACGGAGTGGACACACACTTCGACCAGCTGCGTGAGTCAACGGGTCAAGGGACATGGAAGAATAAAAATATGACTAAAAATGGCTCAAAATTTACACCTGAGTGTTAGCATGTGGATCACTTTTTATGTTATTCTTTGTCAGTTGTATGCATTTGTTTTAAGAACAAAATGAGTTTCAATTCTAAACAGTTTTGTAAAGCCCAAACTCACAACAGCATTCGCCTCACAGTGATAAGCAAAATTGTTGATTTAGTTAACAAAAAGTTGGAAAATAAAACACTGGTCAATAAAAGACAAAGCAGATAAACCCAAAAAACAACAAGAAACAACATTAACTTTTAAGATGCTGTAGTTGACTTTTACGGTCTTAAAGGAACTGTATGTACGATTTAGATTTTTAAATAAAGTGAGTTGCCAGTTTCAATGCTGAAATTCTGTTGTTGTAAATCTAAAATTACTCCCTCTGATCTGAATGGAACTGTGTGCACAGTTATTAAGCAAGTGGGTATTTGGCCTAACACACAGTGCACACAGTTACTTTGTGTTTTTTTGTCTAACGAGGGGTGTGTGGCCTAAGGAGATCAACACCCTATATCAAGGTGTGCATAACAATTAAGCAGCTTCTTTTCCTTACATAAAAATGGGCCAAAAATGAGATTTAACTGATCCTGAAAAGTCAAAAATCATAAAAAGTCTTTCAGAGGGATGCAGCATTCTTGAAATTGCAAAAATATTGGGGCGTTATCATGTGATCAAACATTATGTTACAAATAGTCAACAGTGTCTCAAGAAACATGCTGAGAAAAAAAAAGATGCAAATAAACTGCAAGAGATTTGAGAAGAACCAAACATGAAGCTACTAGGAACCCATTATCCTCCATACTGTCATATTCCAGAAGTACAAGGTGTTCAGTGCTCAGAGACATGGCCAAGGTAAGGAGGGCTGAAACCTGACCACCACTGAACAAGAAACATAAGCTGAAATGTCAAGACTGTCCCAAGAAATGTCTGAAGACAGATTTTTTCAAAGGTTTTATGGACTGATAAGATGACAGTGACTCTTGACGGACCAGATGGATGGGCCTGTGGCTGGATCAGTAATGAGCAGAGAGCTCCACTTCCACTCAGACTCCAGCAAGGTGGAGGTGGGGTAATGGTATAGACTGGTATTATTAAAGATGAGCTTGTTGGATCTTTTCGGGTTGAAGATGGATTCAAAATAGGACTCAAAACCTACTGCCAGTTTTTAGAAGACACTTTCTTCCACTAGTGGTACAGGGAAAAGTCTGCATCTTTCAAGAGGACCATGATTTTTATGCAGGACAATGCCCCATCGCATGTATCAAAGTACTCTACTGCGTGGCTCTTAGCCTTAAAGATGAAAAAATCATGATATAGTCACCTTCCTTAACTGACCTAAACCCTATTGAGAAATTGTGGGCCCTTCTTAAATGGGAGATTTACGGTGAAAGAAAACAGTACACTTGTCTGAACAGTCTCTGGGAGGCTGTGGTTGCTGCTGCACAAAAGCTGATTGTCAACAGATCAAGAAATGGACAAACTCCATGAATGGAAGACTTATGGCCTGTATTGAGAAGAAGGGTGGCTGTATTGGTCACTGATTTTTTTTTTCTTTTTGAAATATCAGAAATGTTTATTCTATTCTGACAGATGAAAATAAACAAGTGAGAATGGAAAAAAATCATTTTTCATTTAGTTGCATAATAATTCTGCACATTAATAGCTGCCCAATAATTGTTCACACATAGATTTTCTCATCAGAAAGCCAAAACTTCACTTTTACTTTCTTAAACATTTGAGGTTTATTAACATTTTGGGTTGACTGAGAGCACTGTAGTTGTTCCATTATAAAATGAATCCTCATAAATACAACTTGCCTAATAATTATGCACACAGTGTACAATACATCTATACTGAGGCAAATGTTACTTAGATAGAACCACTTTAATGTCCATGAAAACTGACTGCAGCTTTTTTTAAATTTCATTCTGCAGAGGACGTCTTTATGCTCCCGAGTAGAGACGAAAAGAACCCTAAAGTCTACGCTGTCTTCACCACCTCCAGGTATCTAACTAACAACATACTCACATTATAATTTCAGCTCAGTGACACATCTCTGGTTATGGCCTGACTTATTTTACTGTACTGGATGTTTGCAGCTCCCTGTTCCCTGGGTCAGCAGTGTGTGTGTACAGTATGTCTGACATCCGAGCGGTGTTTAACGGCCCCTACGCCCACAAAGAGAGCCCTGACCACAGATGGGTGGAATACGAAGGACGTATACCTTACCCCCGCCCCGGAACCGTATGTTCTATTCAAATCATGTCATGATTTAGTTTTTGTTAAAAATGATAGAGGTAGAAAATACTGGTATTGTACACTGGTTTATGGTTGTCTGTCTATACTAATACTGGGATATACTCATGAAACAAAAACTGACAGATACAAAAGAACTAGTTGATTTTAAATGGTTTGCAGTGGTCTAGTCTCATTCTTCACTTACCTTATGCATTCTGATCATTGTAATTTTTTCCTCCTGATGATTTTGTAAGCACTTTTCACAACTTTCAGAGGACAAGAGTGGACTTTACTGCAACAATTAGCATGCTAGCAGTGCAGTTCCTGATTATCAAACAATACAAATATTTTATAATGAAATGCTGTCAGAACAAAGCGATCTCATTTTGACCTCAAGAGCTGCTTATACAATACACAAACAAATTAAAAAAAAAGCTCTTTAAAGGTACATGATGTAACTTTTCTGGTGGAGCCAGTGTGTTATGATGTATACAGTTGCTTTGCCAGTTGTTACATTAAACCTTCTCTCTGTCTTTAGACCAAGCAAGAAGGCTAACTTACAGGTCAGATCTGTGGACAGACAAGCAAACAGTTAGAATGTATGTTTTTCCAAAGTATTTCTGAGCAATAAAAACATATGTAATGGTATGAAATAGTTTAGGTATATCAATGGCATTTCCATGGAGACAAGCAGGTGAGGACCCCCCACTAGTAAAAGCATTTAACATAAATGTTTGATCTAAACAGAGTGCTGCAGACTTTTGTAATTAAGATTTAAATGTTTATAAGATGCGAGCCAATAATGAGCCCTGGGTTATGGAAATATACAGTAAGTCCTCACACAAGCAGCAGTGTAGCACATGTTCCAGATGAGAGGTGCAGTGTGTCATGTTATATTCAGCCACCAGAGGGAGACACACACTGGGGTTTGAAGGTGCAATAATCAACGTTCTGAAGTCTCGGAAAACTTTCAAGGAGTTTATGTAGTAACTGAAATAATTATGTCCGCAAACAAAATGCAGTAATTTTCAAGATGTCATGTGGCAATACAGGAGGTGCTCAACTGTGTTTTTAAACTCCATACACCTTCACAAGGGATAATTTCAAAGTGACAGACAGATGAATAATAGACAAAACATGACTTAAAGCTCACAAGAGTAAATTTTGCTTAACATTTAAGAACAGTAGACAAAACCAGAAATCACCCAAAAAACGTTTGTATTTCTTTTCCAGTGTCCAAGTAAGACCTATGACCCTCGCATAAAGAGCACGAAGGACTTCCCTGACGAGGTGGTGGGCTTCATGCGCATGCATCCCCTCATGCAGCGCACCGTGTCTCCAGTAGGGGGCAGACCAGTGTTTACGCGGCTCAGGGCGGACTACACCCTCACACACATCCGCGTGGACAAGGTCACGGCGGAGGATGGTCACTATGAGGTCATGTTTTTGGGAACAGGTGAGGCTTGATGTAATTACTCCTGTTCACCACCAGAGGGAGACAGAGGGTTAAAGTCGAAGGCAGGAGTTAGTGTTGTAATTATTAGGGAGTGTTAAAGCTTTGTTGTTTAAAATTATGAAGATAATTTAACATAATATACTGAAAGCAGAAAATTCTCTTGAATCATTCAGATTAATTTTAAGTTAACTACTCAGAGATTTTAAAGATGCACTGTGTATTTTATGTTTAGAGGTCTGCCACCTGCTTGTCTTCATGATGATGTTATTACTTTGTCTGTAATGTTTTACAGTTTGGCATTAAACCTTTCCATGGAGACATGCTCGTGATGGTATCAGAACCTGTTACAGATCAAATTTGGAGTTAGAGCACATGTGTTTAATATAATTACATTTTTTTATCTTTATTTTAATTAATTTATTTATGCATTTAAACACCTGTAATTGAATAAATGAAAACAAAAAAGTATTTAGTGCACCTTTAACTTTATGCTGCAATGGTTTAGTCTCATTTTGCCTGGTTTAGTTCAGATTTTGTGGTACTGAAGCAACCAAATGTAACAATGCTGTGCACATTTTGAGAAGCACTCACATTGATAATAGTCTGAGAATAGCAAATATTTCAGACATGAAATCAGTTGAAACCTTGTTGTGTGTGTGTGTGTTCCAGATGTGGGCTCAGTGCTGAAGGTGGTGTCCATCTCTCAAGAGAACTGGGCCACAGAGGAGGTCATCCTGGAGGAGCTGCAGGTCTTTCAGGTGAGACAGCCTCAGTGCAGTTCAGTATTTACACACTTGTACAGCACAGTACTAGGTAGAACAGAATTATAAATGTTACCACATATTAGAGATATTCCCCAAAACCAGCTTGGAAAGGGAAGACTGAAAACTTGAGCCCTGCTGCATGATTAATTCATACACAGATTTTATTGCTTTGTCTGGAATGTTTCACAGTGTGGTATTAAACCTTTCTATCTTCATGGAGACCAAACCAGGCCAAGCTACTGGTCAGATCTGTGGAGAGGCCACCCTGTTCACAGTCAGAATGCCTGTTTTTCTAGGTATTTTTGAGCTATAAAACCATCTGTAATTTAGTAAATGTAAAGTAGAGCTGTTTAATGTCATACTATGGAACATTCCAGCCAGAGCAATGGCATATCCATAGAAACAAGATGACGGACCAGAAAGTCACACAGTGCATCTTTAAGTTAGACAAAGATGTTCTATGTACTTTTATTCAAAATAAAATTTTTTGTTTTGTTTTTTAATTACAGACTCCCAGTCCCATCCTGAGCATGGAGATCTCTTCTAAACAGGTTAGACCCTCATGTCTGTCAAACTCTTGTATTCATCTCTGTCTTTTTATTTTTATTTATTTATTTATTTGAAAAGGGACAATGCACATTAATCAACATCAAAACAATGTAAATGTGCCCGAGTTAGCTGATTAGAGCTAATTAGCATCGGTTTCTGTAGTGTCCTCATCATGTAGTGTGTCCTCCTCATCATGTAGTGTGTCCTCCTCATCATGTAGTGTGTCCTCCTCATCATGTAGTGTGTCCTCCTCATCATGTAGTGTGTCCTCATCATGTAGTGTGTCCTCATCAATGTAGTGTGTAACCTTGTGTAGATGTGAATCAGAGGTTAGTGGTAGAGCACTTTCTCTGTGTGTAGATGGACATGCAGGTGTGCACTATGCTCACGCGCACACTTTCACATGCACACAGTCATGTGCACACTCTCACGTGCACACACTTACGTGCACAGTACACCTGTGCAGGTCCAGCCTGTGCTGTGGACTCTTGTTCAGCTCAGACATGTCCCAGCACATGAGAGGAAGACATTAGTTCACATTCCTCACACACAAGTCTGACAAACAACTGCATTTTACATCCACATTCTAGCTGTCCACTTGTCTCACCTTGTTTGAAAAATAACTGATTACCTTTTGTACGAGAGAGTAACAATTTAAAGCATTCATTAAACTATTTTCATCATATGCTTATTTATTTCTTACATTTATTTGTGTTTCAATTAACCTTTAATAAATACAATGGAAAACTAATACATATACAGTAATTCTGATTCTGATTAATTTAAAAAAAAGTTTCAAAAGTTTCTTTTTGTTACCATCCTGACTGTAATGTGTAGTGGATTTTATCAAGAATGGATGAGATTGTAATATTTTAAGGAGTAAAATAGATTTGACTTTGAAACTCTTACTATATTAAGAGTAAACTACAAGCCTCTGATGACTTTTTCAAGTGGCACTTATTTGTTTTTGCAAAAGAACTACTCATATGTAAATAGTATTTTCATTCAATTCATTCATCTAAACTTGAGAAACTCCACCCTCTGTTCCACTCTGACCCTGTTCTCTGCCCTTGTGCCCTGTAGCAAGTGCTGTTGGTGGGCTCGGCTCTAGCCCTGTCCCGGGTCTCTTTAAGCCGCTGTCCTGTGTACGGTCAGGCCTGTGCTGAGTGCTGTTTGGCCCGAGACCCCTACTGCGCCTGGGACGGACACAGCTGTGCACGCTACATCCCCGCAGCCAAGAGGTAACACAGCCATCACATCATTCGTTTACATTTGCTGAGGAAGAAAAACTAAAACAGGATCTGTATTTGCTGGATTTGTGGTGCTTGATGAAATAAAAATATTAAAAAATGTCAATGTTCTACTGAGGCTCTAGAGTTACAATAGCTAAAACAGTAGAACAGTTTTTCATAGTTTGTCATATCTGGAGACTAATACTAATTCTTCCATTGAAAATGCATTGGAGCTCATGTATGGAGCAGTACCAGCTTTAGGATCTTCAGCATTCTGTTTGTCTTTGTTCATCTCCTTATGTAAAGCATCTTTGGGTATCTTGAAAAGCTCTATCCATGTATTATTAACATTACAAACACTGGAAGAGTCTATAGCCCATATTCAGACTGGGTCTCGAGAGCACAAAACACTGCATGATGTCATCAGGTAGTTAGTTTAGTCCATGAGCCCTCTAGGTTCCTTTTGTATAGGCCTATATAAAGTGTCAGGCAATCTGACTTTTGATTTACAGACGAGCCAGAAGACAGGACATAAAGAACGGAGACCCTGCCACACAGTGCTGGGACACAGAGGATCGTAAGTGCTTAGCTTTTGTGTTTCTTCTGTGGTAAAATGCATGTTCTTTGCAGTTAACCAATTTCCATTTTAGACAAAAATACTCTCTAATATTTGTGTATTGTATTTTCACGCCTTAAAGGGAAAGGTTTGGAGGAGAAGCTGATCTTTGGCGTTGAGAAGAACTCAACATTTCTGGAGTGTGTGGCCAAATCTCAGCAGGCTCAGATCCTGTGGTACTTCCAGCGAGCGGGGTCAGAGCGCCGGGAGGAGGTCAGTACATTTCACTCAAGCACACCGGCACACAAGATGGGTTTCCATGCTTCCTGGGGACATTTCATTGACTTGCATTCATTTCCTGGAGACTGATCCTAACCTTAACCATGTGGTGCCCTACACAATCGCTATAGTCCTACAGAAAATCATGCAAATTTTCCTTCAGATATGGTGTTGCGGTAATGTGCAGTGCTCTTTGACCTCCGAATAATAACTTGGTATTATTTGACACGACTAGAATATAGTCTGGCATAGACCACTAGAGCTGCACTGTTTGTATTAAATATGTTTATAGTAGTTTTGGTCATATTATTTGAGGTTATCTGAAGTCTAAATAAGCCTTACACACCACTCTGCAAACTTTAAACACTTCAACTGGCTTTTTTAGCAACAAAGGGGTCATGTATGGGTGTACACTACAGATATACCAATATATATATTTTTTTTCCGTGCCATGGTGTCTTTTCAAAGTTGTTGTGCTCTTTGTTAGCCAACACTCACTCGGCGTACACTCCCCGTGGGATCCCAAGTAGGCAATGCCAGTGAGAGCCACACCCAAGGGCAAGGCTCAAACCAGACATGCATGTAGCCCCGTGCACTCCGGGGAGCCACGAGCAGGCGATACTGGTTGATCGAAATATCGGGTCTTACCTTAAATCTCTACCATAGGCTGATATTTTGTTATGACCGCCAAATTACTTAAAGAAAATACATTATTTTAACACTTTAGTATGAGCAGTACACTGCACCAAATATGATTACAGTGCTCCCTACAGTGCTGAGTTAGTAGTAAAACAGGGTTATGCATGTCTAAAAACTATTTCTTTTTTTTCTTTCATTATTAATAATTAATAATAATAATAATTAAGTTTATAAGCATTTGCTGATACTGCATCAGTCATGGAGAAATATCAGTCGATCTCTAGTGTGCACAAAGGCCATGCGGTTTGAATTCATTACATAATTTATAAAAAAAAAAAGTCTTGCCCTCTGGTTTAAGGTCTTCCTAGAGCTTGCCACAACTTACGCTTTGATAGCTGATCATCTGATCATCCTTTTCTATCATAAATCTGACAGCGACCATGAAAGCGCTGACAGGAAGTTTTCGAAATGTTTCTATAACTGATTGATTTCAGCTGGTGTTTTTGCCTTTTTGCACCCGCTTTCTCTTAAGTTCAATGAAACATTTGGTCAAAATTACATATCAGTCTTTTTGAAAAAAAAAAAAAAAAGAAAAAAAAAGAAAGAAATCTTGAGTGATGCAAAGAAACACAAACGTTCAAATAATTTCATTTTGATAACATAAATGTTTTGTCACATGTTGACTTACGCACAGTGGAGGAGTGATAAACTCATGTAAGAGCACCGTTACTTCAGTGAAAAATATTAATCTTTTTTTTTTTTTTTCCAAATATTATTTATCTGTTTTATTTTGTTTTTTGTTTTAGATTAACTTTCCGTTGCATTTGCGTCTGCATCTCCAATACCAAACTTTGCTGTTGCTATGTTATTGACTCAGCGCTTGAACTCACAAACACATATTAACACAGTAATCCAACTCCCTCTATTTTCCATTAAGTACAGTTGTAAACACATACTACAGGCTGGGCACGTAGAGAGGAGGTGAGAGGGTGCATTTGACCCGTACACAAACACAACACTGACCTGCTCTGTACCTGCTGTCATTCTGGTCCAGGTGAGACAGGAGGTTACATTTTCCTCATGCTTTCTGCCCAAACTGTCTGTTACATAAGCAGTTCAAAGCCTCATATACAAGTGTGAGCTTGGACTGCAGCCAGCACTTAACCAGACACCTGTGCTTAGCCACAGGGAACTAGTCAAGACTGAGCGCTCTTCAGAATGTCTCCTAGTAAAGTACATACTGTTGTGTCCATAAGCAAGACACTTCACCCATGTAGACAGTGTGTGAATCAGTAACTGGTAGTGGTGATCGTGTAGGCGCAGAGTGGCAGTCTCACCGTAGCTCTTTACAAACATGCACACTCACTTTTAGTTTTACATCAATTAAGTGGCAGTTTGTGGAAAAAAAAAAAAAAAAACACTTAGAAGAAAAGAAACAAATATACAGGAAGTAGCAGTAACTAAATTGGAATACGTCTACCTATGTCATCACAGAAAATTACATCCAAAGTTGAAACAGTGCTCACCAGATGTCAGGGCAGTGTGAGGGGTGCAACAGCCCTTAGGACAAAAGTGTCTCACTGGTCTGAAGCCCGAGCATTACAGCAACCTCTTAAGGGAGCCAGGTGAACTCTGATACAACAACCTCTTCTAAGCTTCACTCACTCCTTGAGTAGTGGTGAAACAGGCCTCTGGAACCTCTTCTGCCATATTTGGTTTAGAAAGTCTGGTGAGCATTATAGCTTCATGCAGAGTTGCCATGGACACAGGAAAAACATACCGCTCAAATCACATAATCCAATAGTCCTCCTTATCCTTTGAATTGTACAAACTGTATTTCTTAGTTGGTCAAAATCCCACAATATTGAGTCAAATATAAAAATTTTTAAAAGCTTAAAAATGGCTCAGTGTACCAGCCAGTCAGCCACAAGAGCAATCAACCACAACCATGGCACAAAAATGATTTATTATTACTGTTCATGGGTTTCAACTTCCTGTTTTATGTAACATTTTGAGGACTTTTTCCCTTTCAAATTCAGATAAAATATTTAGTTTAGATGTTTTTATCGATATGGCAGTGGTCATAATTGGATAGAAGCAACAATATACGAGTAAAGCTAGATCTTAATGGCCTCTATGAAACAGTATTTACTACAATTATAAAAGTGTTTAATAGATCCACATGTATGAAATAATGCGCTGTTCCCTCTGATTCTGCTGGCCATATATCACCCCCAGCGCTGTTTGTGCAGGGCTCAGACTAACTACAGCTCAGCAGGTTGTGAGTCCAGCCTGGGTCCCACTGGTCGTATGTTCTCCACACACGCTGCTATGGGAGTTTGCACAGTGGCTCTTTTCCATGCGTGCAGACATTATTGATATTTATGAGCAACCAGGGCTTTGTGGAACTTTTGTGAAGAAAGAGAGAAATGTCAGGAATCACAAACCAGACGCACCCCAGGGAGAACTCTGAGGTGAGGCCTGGACCACCACCAAGGCACACCTGAAATGCAAGCTATGAATGGTATCTTTATGGGGATGCTGCTAGTTGTTGTAAAAAAAAAAAAAAAGCCTCCTGCCAATGAAGTTTTAAGTCATTCTATAGGCTAAGCATTATTTATGCATTAGTATAATATAATGTTGTACTTTAACTGCAAAGACATTCAAATATTTAGACCACCATGTTGCCTTTTATTGTTTTGCCTTATTTATTTTGATGCTCAGAGTCTCTCCTTCCTTTGCCCCGTTCAGAGGGCTATCACAACATAATCGGCGTGCATCTATTACTAATGAAACTACTGCAACTACTGCACATGGCAATAAGGTTTTTCAAGTTGACAAGACATCGAAAACCTCTTCAGGCATGTTTTTGATGAAAGAACAACATTAAAACAATTGTGCAATATATATGGAAGGATTTAAGGAAAATAATATTCATAATTTGGCAAATTCATAGTTTTGGACATTTTCTCTTGTTAAATATTTATTCATGTGTAAGCAAAATGGGTTGATAAAGCAGTACTAAATAATATTTTTACTTCATTAAACGTCTTTGTAGGTCTCTGTGATGTTAAATACATATTTTCAGTGTTTGAATCGTCCTGATCTTTTTGCTGTCAGAAAACCGTCCGGCATGACCTAGAGGATCTTTTAATATACTTTTTTATTTATGTATATTTTTATGTGATTACACTGCCTTATGTCATACAAAAAAGAGAGAGAAAAAGACAAAAGGTGCTTTTGAATCCCTGACAGTGTATTCTCATAAGGGAGCTGCAAATGAAACTGTTACTGAAAGTGTTTCTAAGACTCGGGTGATTCCATAAACATGACCTATCCGTGCCCCCAGGTATCAAATCAAATATTGTTTTTACTCATAACAATTCTAATGTTGATGTATTCATAATTACAAAAACATTAGATTAATTACCAAAAACATCACACTTGCAAAGTTATATAATTTGGTTCTCAAGACTGGTCAGGAAGCAGGATCACATGAGTCTCTTGTGATACTGCATTTGCGTTGCCAGTATCAGTGTCTGAATCCAGTTGATTTAAACCTAAAAGGATTCTCTCAGATCTGAATGGCCATGAGCTAAACAGAAAGAGAGACAGACTTATGTGTCTATACTCTATAGAGGTCTCTTATTGCTTTTATGTATGCAATTTCAGCACCTTTAAACTTTGGCAACCTTTTGAATGTAGAATTTATTTACTAGTACCTTTGGTGTCGTGCCCTGCTAATATTACACCAACACCATTAGGAAAGGTATACAAAATTATTTAAAAGGCATAAACGTTCCATGCCAAACAGTTTATCCAATGTTCCCTGAATGCAGCACTGTGTTGGAGTGCCAAAAGCGTTTAAAGGAGGATAGAGGAAGGAGCAGCTCATGTTTATGTTCAGAGGTGTGGACAGGAGCGTATAGAAGATGACACTGGTCTGGTGAATGGGACAGTGCAGACGCGCTAACTCAGCACCCCACACCCTTTGGACAAACATTTAAAAAACTCTGCAAATGTGCACTCATTTCACTGATGTAATGATTATAAAAATACATTAAAGGGCTCATATTACGCTATTTACTGATCTATGTTATAATGTTGTTTCCTCATCAAAACAGACCTGGAGTTGTGTTTTGTTTCATTCACAAATGTTTAATGCACAAACCCTGGTAAGACTGTGTTCATTTTTCTGTTAATCTGAAAAACACTCTGCTCCACCTTGTGTGATACTGGTGAAGCAGAGTGTCATGTGGTGATACAGGAAGTTCTCCACTGTGTTTTTAAACTCCATACACCTTCACTAGAATCATTTGGATAATTTCAGCTCTGGATTTGCCAATCTGTACTGA